ATAGTATGGCAAAAAATGTCAAAAAAACACCATAGCATACTAAGGCATTAAAAGGTCATAAAAATGTCAAAATATGGTAAGGCATCAACCCACACAGTATTATAAGGCATTAAAGGTCATAAAAATGTCATAGCATGATACAACGACATAGTAAAGTAAGGCCCAAAAGGCCAAAAAAAATCATAGTATAATAGGGCACAAAAAAGAAAAAAAATGTCATAGTATGGTAATGGATAGAACGACATTGTAAAGTAAGGCCTAACACAGCATAAAAATGACAAAAAAAACATCTTAATATAGTATTGCATAAAACGTCAAAAAAACATCATTATAGTAAGGCATAAGAATGCCAAAAAAAGTCATGTTATAGTTTTGCTTTAAATTTCAAAAAAAGGCAAAAGACAGTTTAGGTCCATAACGGGTTTTGAAACAATAACCTTTTCAGTGTGAGGTAATATTCCTATCCGTTGTACCACCAATCTGCCCCATCATCAGCTATTATTATTCAATGCATAAAAATGTCATAGAATGGGTAGGCATGAAACATCATAATATATTAAGGCATAGAATTTTCAAAAAACGTCATAGTATAGGCATTTGAAAGGCAATAGTTCCCACAACTGTACCAGCATGCTGCCCCATCACAAAGTCACATATAGGGATGCATAAAAGCATCATAGTATTGAAAGGTACAAAAATATTGCAGTATTGTAAGGTACAAAAATATTGCAGTATAGTAAGGCATCTCTCTCTCAAAGGCATAAAAAGTCATGGTATAGTAAGGCATAAAAAAAGTCATAGTATAGTAAGCCATAATAACATCATTTAATAGTAAGACATTTGAGTAACCAATTAGCCAAACTTCCATGTATTTGGTGTTTGGGAGGGAGCTGGATTACCCAGAAAACCCTCACAGGTACAAGAAGAACATACAAATTCACCATAGAAATTTTCCAAACCATGGTTCGAACCAACACTCTTCTTTGTTTTGAGGCAACAGTCCCAACCACTTCCCCACCATGCCACCCATTCAATAAGTCATAGTATAGTAAGGCCTGATATGTGTGTTTGGCGGCAAGTTGGTGTCTATTCGTTGTCTGGGTGTTGTTGTTTCTGCCAGGGCTGCTGTTTGGCTTTATGTTTGTTCTGAAACTTTTGCCAAACGGAGAGCATCATTTTATGTCAGGCATTGCCAGACAGTTTAACAACCTGCAGTGTTCTGTCCTTGTGCATCAAACTTATGGAGGGATCCTCAGGACTGTGACTTAAATCTTACTAAATGTGGTTTTGATTTTATGTGTGAGTTTTTGTATGAGTTACTGTTCCTGTGGTTGTTCAGATCTGTGTGTGTGTGTGTGTGTGGGTGTGTGTGTGTGTGTGTGTGGTGTGTAACACATGTGGCTCCACTGAGACAGTTTGGCTCTTTGCCAGCTCAAACTGCCCATTGCTTGGAAGGCTGGAAGTAATGGGCTCACTTCCCCGGTGGGACAGGAGAGGGACTGAATAAAAACAAGGAGGGGCGTGCCTTGGGGGCGCTGCAGGGATGATACAGCACATGACAGCGTGCAGCAGGAGCAATGAGTGGACTGTGTGCTGCTGAGCTCCTTTATATGATCTGAACTTATACTAATTAGATTATACTAATTAATCATTAATTAACTTTTAAGATTCATGGGAGATCCATGTTTTTGTTTTCTAGGATGACAATCAAAGCCATCCAGAGACATTTATTAGACTAAGGCAAACCTGTTTTACTTATTGGAGTAAATGTTGAAGGAGTACCCCTGCTAAAGGCACAGAAACTCATTTCACAACTTGTCCTTCTTCCAAATCACACAAGGAAGTGGAGCGCATTTTAGTAAATGCCTGGAGGGCGGGTTTGGTCAGGCCGCTGAAGGTGGAGCCATCTTTAAACAAAGTGTCAGTACGGCGTGCACTCAGGAGGAAAATGGGTCTGTCACTATCCTCCTAGGGAAACAAACATTATGTGAGGGTTAGCATCTTAATATTCTTTGTTCTTAAAACCCAACTCAAGACTTTATCATCACAAGCGAGTGTATTAGCATCATCACATACAATTATGCAAAATCAAGCATTTCTTTGTTTATTAACTACTGTTTGCTAACACCTCATAAACACTGTTTTACCTAAACAACACAAAGACAATTATGCTAATTGTTGTTGTGTCCCTCCTGACACATAAGTGCCCACTTTGTAAACTTCCCCCAGGTGGTGTTTAACCCTCTCCTGACCCTTCATCGCTGACCTAAATTTGCTTTCTTTGTCACCCTTGCAGACCCCTGTCTCATAGTGATGCCGCCATGCATGGGCGAGGCCGACCGCTTCAGTCTGGAGGCGCTACGGCACATCCACAAACAGCTGGATGACGACAATGACGGGGGAATAGAGGTCAATGAAAGCGTGGAGGTGAGCTTCGTCAATCTACATTCAAGAGTGTCGCCAGAGGACACATGCAGAGGCATATTAGTTTTAAACAAACAGCTAAGCTGAAGCATGTGGCCTTTAGGGTTAAAGTGACAGTTTCCAACCTGGGGTCGTGACCTCCTGAAGGCGTCCCAAAGTAAATGTGATGACTACATGAATATTGCTTTATCTTTTAGGTCAAACAAAAGCAAAACCTTTATAATTATAGAATGTAAGTTCTGTTGCTGTTGGAAAGAGATTTGCTTTTCATGCCATGGTTCCCATATTGTTACTATATGACCACCTTCTCATGGTACCGTCGCTATAAAAATCCACTATCTCTCAGATCGTTAGCTTTAGCAGAACCAAACTGCTTGTTAAACCCCAAGTGTTGACACAGGAATACTTTTCCTGTCACCTCTGAAAGTGGATCACCACATACTAGTAAATATTTACTTTACAGTGCAAACAGTGACTAACAGCTTGTAGCAGCAGGCCGGTCTTTGTAGTTGTCCCAAAAGTCAAATAATTTATAACATTTAGCAGTTAGTCATCAGAGGAGAGAGCCAAACTGGTGTCGGCATTCCTGACATCAGAAACACACACACACAAATATTTTTAGTGTTTTTACTGAGTGTTTTTCCAACAAACAACAAAAAAATCTTTTTTTTAAAAAAATATTTATAGTTTTATTAGAATTTTAGTGTTTATGCACCACCCTGGACCACCCTGTCCTTCACCATGTACAATTATTAGCATAAGACAGGCCTTTATTTGAGATTTGGTGTCCTTGAAGTTAAGTCTTTGCTAGTAATCAAAAAAACCATAGATGAGACAGTTTGTGCAGCTGAAAGATGACTGTAGTGACACTGGTAGTGTGTTATTGTGTGTGTGTGTGGGGGGAGGTGTGGAGAGTGAAGAGACAGGTTTCTGTGAGTGACTAGAGGGCTAGGGCTGACATCTGAGAGCACTCTGACCTGCTGTGCCCTGCGCGTCTCTTGGTAATCAACGACCTCTTACGTTCAAAAGAAACCACTCAGGACCCTGGTCACATTTTCTGTGTGTGTGTGTGTTGGCAGGAGTCATTTTTAACTGGCTGAGAAGTGCTGGTGTGAGAAACAGTTATACCCTGCAGCCCTGCTGTGACGCCTCAGGAAAGAGCTGGACCCTATATGAGTCCTGTCTAAAGACCCCTGAGGGCTGCAGTGTTGGAACTGGCCCCTGGCCCACATTATTAAGGAGATGTGTGTCTGTACATGTAACCCTGATGCTTGTATGTAAGCGTGCATTACATAGAGCCTCCTAACCCGTTTTCACCCTTTGTCTTTATAAGGGAAATGAGACGTGTCTGTTTCTTTCCAGCAGAAAACACAAGTTGTTTTTGGCTGTCGCTGATTACTGAGGATTTCCAAGCTTCTTCTCTGGGCTCCAGTGGCAGGCGGAGCAGGGTTTCATAACATGATGGATGCTCCTTTCACCAAATTAGCGACCGTCTATCAGTTACTCTTATTGGAATATGGACACTGTTGTGTGACCTAAAACAAGTGAACTTTGACAGTCAGTCTTATTTTACTTTCACTCTTGCAGATTTAAAAGTCTGTAGCCTGAAGAAAAAACAAAGAACCTGTGCAGCCAATTTAAAAAAACTTAGCTTAATTCATTTTTTCAGTTTGGCTCCTAAAAAAATTCAGGCTCTTGATGCAACTTTGAATCAAATTTCACCATAAAGCACTTCTTCCTAGCAGTGATGACTTGAAAGGAGTGACACACTTATGGGGAATGAAAGGTCCAGGAGCGGGTGCAAGATCCTCATCACCCGCTCACCCCTTTTGCCACCTGGCTGAAACCTTACACGCAGCCAACAAAAAAACTCTCTGTGGCACTTCCTGCTTTTCCTCCTCTACTTCTTCTCATGTTACCTAAAATTTAAGAGGATGACTCAGATGAGTGGAAGGTCATATTTGTAATGTTAAAGCCGTGGTCAGGATATCCAGTTTTTCATGACATGCATTTCAGAGATTCTTAAGCTGGTGGTAAGGATGAAACGAGAGGTCTTGCTGTCACAGACGCAGTGGAGATATATGGGCACAATGATACCATTTGGCGTTTGGCTATGTTTACGTGTTTGGGGTTTGTAGAGCATGTTGAGCAGTAAAGGAAGTGATTTATGAATATGAACAAAATATAAGAAAACTCATATTAAAAGGCTTTATTGATGGAGTATGAAGAGGATTGACTTCTTTCTGTGTATTTCCGTTTTAAATCCAGTATATTTTTGGAACTGTACACACTGGGTTGAGACATTTAGTGGTTTTTACAAAGTCCATAACAACTTCAGATAAAAAAAAAGTATCTTACTTTTGAGGCAAAGATGCGAAAAACTCTCCTGTTCTAGCTTTCTCTTTATTTTTTTATGATAGTAAAGATAAAACCAGAAATTGGTTCATAGAATAATCAAGAAAATAAATGGCAGAGTAAGTCTTGGTTGTTGGACTGTCAGCACTTCTGCATATATGATTCTTGATTCATGCTTTATCTGTTGCTGGAGTCAAGGCAGTACTGATGGGGATGAAATCTCTAAATCACATTCTTTAGCAAGAAAAAAGCAAGCAGCAAGACTAGGACTATTTCTGGTTTGTCTTTGTTCAGGCAGTCTTCAGATGGAGCTGCTACAGTATCTCTCTGCTTCGTTCCAGAGTCCAGTGATGGTGTAAGCCTCCTTAACTTATCCAGAAATTTAAGCTGTGAACTAAATAGTTTTATACTCCTTTATGGTATTTTGATTTTTCAGATTCATTTTCAAGAAATGCATGAATGACCCATTGGCATGTCTTAACTGGAGGATCAGAAACACTGGCTGTGTAAAAGTTTGTGTTTGGACCTGAAAGCAGACTCAGGAGGCTAAGGTGGGGTAAAGTTAAGTGGTTTTATTGACAAAAGAGTTATTCTGGGGAAGCTGATGGCTGGAGAGGGCTGATTGGGTCGACTGAGGATGGTTGAAGCAGGGAATGGTGGAGACCGGCTGAGGGTGAGAGCAGGGGGTAAAGGCAGAGGGATTGGCAGTGGTGGCGGTGAAGGCGGAGGCTGGCTGGTGCTGGGATTCTGGACGCAGAGGAAAAAGACGTTAAACGCAGGCAGGGAAAGGAACAACAAGTAACTCTAGAAAATACTTCTCAAATAACTAGAGTGGCCGGGAGCAAGTCTACCGCTAAGCAGACGGAACAATCTGGCGATGAGAGAGGCCGGGATTCTTGAACAGGTTGCTTGATGAGTTGATGGGTAGCAGGTGTGGAATGATGCCAGGAGCCAGGAGAGAGAAGTCATGCCCACATACACACACACACACGCACACATACATAAGAGGGGAGGGGGAGACACGAGGGGAAACAAGGAAACACAAGAGAAAAAAACTGTAGAGCTGTGGCAGAGCCGTAACACACTGTCTTTCATTTGCCACAGTGAATCTTATACCAGCTGACATGAACAGTTTGTTATCGAAATACAATTTAAAGGAACTTATCAGTCACTTGCGAGTTACCTGGCAGCGCTGTAATGTAACATTTGTTTTACCTGTAAAATTCCTCTGTATCTAAACAACAATCAGTGTTGCTAAGTTACAGGGAAATTAACCCTCACATACATATTAACACCAACCCATGTGTCATAGTTTGTATTAGTGCACGGTTGCTGAATCATTGACATGAATATATGTGACTATGACAAAGTCAAATTTCGATCTCCCTTTGGATTAGCCTCCACAAGCTAGCTGATGCTACATCTGTGGCATGTAACCATGGTGTTTTTTAATTTTCATTCACTGGATTCTCATTAACTGTTTTACCATTGGGCCCACACACACACACACACAAACACACACACACACACACACACACACAAAAGTACCTTCTACCATGTGTACTCAAACCTATTTAAACTTTCACTGTGGAGTGGGGAGGCCGTGAGAACAAACAAGGAAGTGGTGAGGCCAACAAGTCTCAGTTCCCTTTACGACTACAGTGTTCACCGACATGTCACGTCACAGAGTTATCAGTCAGCATGGGGAACAAGAAAGGCTTTGACTGCTGTTTGAAGTTGATGTTTTGAGCAGAGAGTCACAGCAGAACACACACAGCCCTTAGGGGAAGCAAGCAGATAGATCTTTGCCAGAATCAATTGTCGTGATGAGGGTAAAAGGTAGATTTTGGCAGTTTTATGAGCTGCACAATGTCAGTTTAGTAGCATTATCATAGATTTTTGCCATCCACATGGCTGGTCTCAGATCAAAACTGCCATCAGCCTGAATAAATGTAAACAGGAATACACTCTTCATGTGTGTTTATAGTCTCAAAACCAATAGTAATTACTTTTTTATGGTCTTCCAAAAGCATCTGTAATTGGACCACCGTGGAAGAATTTAATTAGGAATCAAATCCAGCCGTTATCCTGATAGACATAATCCTGTCTCCGGTTACTCTGTGAGTCTGGGCATCATTGGGGAGTTTTGAGTGACATTTGGGAAAGGGGGGGGGGTGTCAGTCACTGGGGACGGCAGGTGCACGTCCTCTCCTCGGGGTGCGGTGCTGGGGCTACGCGCAGCCCGTCTGCCAACGAGACGTTTGGCTGGATCGTGTTGCATCACTTTGAAACTGCAAATGCCCAACCGACGTCACAGCCGGTGGGGGGGTGGGGGGGAGGGGGTGGGTAGTTGCTGCTGTGTATGTGCATGTGCTTTATTAGTTCTTGACAGGCCCTGGCATCACATCTTGGTTGAAAAAAATTAAGCTTACATGTGAGTTCTACATCTGTGCGAGCACACTGTACTGTATATATGTCTTACTTGTGTTTAGGTTAGTATGATCAGAGGACATTTGAGGAGGCTCATGGAGCGTCCCGGCGGTATCTATAGAAGGGAGGAATCTCGGAAGGTTCTCGAAGGCGTTTGTTGACTTGTCTGGGAATGTTCTAGAGGGAACGTTCCATTTACAACCTCCCGCTTCGAATCG